TGTTTTCTGTATGTTTTTCTGGTTTTTCCTTGTTTTTTTGGTGTGCAGGTCGGAGGTCCTGTGAAGAATAGATTTAGCTCGGCAACCATGGTTGTGTAGATGGGTTCGTTGGCTACACATTGAAAAAACCGAAACTCGATTTCGAGTTCGTATGAGTCCAAACGAGCCCAAAATGTGAAGTCGCGCGAAGTCGCACGCGAATCACGCCTTTAGATGTGATGATCAAGAGCTTTGGTAGGATTTTATTTCAAGAATAATTTGGTCATTCAAGAATCATTGAATAGAGGGGTTTGTTAGCGACGCGAAGGAAAAAATGGAATCGAATTCCGAGCCCGAACAAGCGTAAACGAGCCCAAGAAGCGAAGAAGGGCGAGCTACCAGGCGCCGCGCGCGCGCCGCGGCGCGACGCATGCCGCGAACTGGATAGAAACTCCTAGGCTTACACGCGCCGCGGCATGACACCAACAGTCACCGCGGCGCGACGCACCTCCGCGGCGCGATGCACCTCCGCGGCGCGACATAAGCAGTCCTGATGAAGATCGCGTGTCCCAGATGTACGTTGCCTCGAACTTGCGCGCGAACGGCTCCTTCTCGGCGACGGTACAGACGACTTGGAGGATGATCTCCTTATCTTCTCGCGATAGGTGAGACAACTCGGACGTGAATCCTTGCCAAACTCGAGCTTAAGACGAACTATGCGGTGGAACGCCATTTTCGACACAAGGATTTTGTGATAAAACTCTAAGAATTCTAAACACAAGAAGATGAACAAAAGTTCGGATTTGTATTGATAAATTTGATGATGAAAAATAACATGGGGGAAGGGCCTTTATATAGGCACAAAATATGTCTAATCTTAATCTACCTAGGGAACTAATTAAGCAATAAAATATTAAGAGTCATAATGCAATAAGGAAACTAAATAGCTAGGGGATCTAATGCCTTGGCTTGCACTCCAAGTAGTCTTGCCTTGCACTCCACTCCATCTCCTAGCCGCCTATCCGCCGCCTTGGTCCAACCGCCCGTGCGTTGCCCTTGTCCTCGAGGACTAGGGTCGTGCCTCCTACGCCCACCTATCCTCTTGCCTTGTGGATTAAGGTCTCGCGCCATGCGTGCGCCATTCCTATTCCTTGAAGGATCATGCTTCGAGCCTACATCCACTTTGCCTATTCCTACTAGGAATATGCTCTCGGCTATGTTGCCTGATCTTTCGAGGATTACCCCCGTCACCGATCTTTCGCGCGTGTTCCAGCACTCAGCTGCTTTTCCTAGTCCTGAGGGGTCTAGGATTCATACCTTGCCTATGCCTATGAGGATTAGGCTATTTATCCTTGTCATGCCTCTCCTTGCTCGTGTGCATGCGATCACATCCTTCGCCTGCGTGACCATCTCGCGCTTATCGCGCATGCCCCGTGCCCCAGCGCTGCCCTCGCTCTCGCCCAGCGCCCCGCGCGTGTCGCCCGGTGCCCCGTCGCCCAGAGCCTATCCATAGCAGTCCCTCGCACGCGCCAACCTCCCGACGTCCACCCCCTGCGCGCCATTCAGCCTAGCCTCCAAGAGCCATGCACGCTGCTCCTTTACACAAAACTCCCATCGACTATCCCGCATCCGCGTCGACCCGTGCTCGAGCTTGGTAGGGTCGATGACCACTTCCGTATGAAGTCCTCGCTGCGCGACACCCCTCCGCGGCGACACTGTACGACTATATATACGAGAGAGACGGGACCTCGACCAAAAAAAACAAAAATATCGACCACGGGTGAAAAACCCTAGGTCCCGAGAACACCACGAACACTCCTCTCATT